ATAGACGGTTGGTCCTACACAGGGAGAGAGAGAGGGGGACTGAGAGAGAGAGGAAGAAAAAAAAGAAGAGAGAGAGAGAGAGAGAGAGAGAGAGACGCCATTGTGTGTCTCTCTTTCTGATGACAAGTTGTAATTAGCTGTCCCTCCGAGACAGCCCTCCCGCACAGTGTGGAGAGCGCGCATCCCGTTATTATTGACTCATTACTCTGTGTGCAATCCGATGCCGTGTGAAAATTGGGCTTTTCTCATGTTTTCTTGGATTCTCGACTCTTTTGGTGAAATCAGTTGGAGTGTCCAGATTGTATTGGAAGCCATTAAAATGTGCAACTGTACCTATTGGGTCCTCCCCCGCTGCTGTCTGATATTGAGCAGCCCTACAGTACAGTACATTAGCCCCTCCCTCATAATATATATATAAGAAAATGTGTGTGTGTGCGTGTGTGCGTGTGTGTCTGTGCGTGTGAGAAACGTTTTCAGCCACAACGCCTTCTATTTCCGTGTTCCTCCGCCTTGCTGGTTGGAAGGGGGTTCGAGTCGCACTGTCACAATTCGTTTATCACATTAAATATCAGCCCTCCGGCACTTTCTCTCTCCCTCCTTCAGTCGCTCTTGTCGCCTCCCACTGTTGGCGTTTCACTCTATTTGAACGCCCAACCAAATTCTCCTCTCCCCCTCCCCGCTCCCTCCTTCTCTTCTCTCCGGCCCATTCCCTCACACGTTTCCCTCCGAGGCCTTCGAGCGCTTTTGTGAAGGCTGCCATCCCGCCTCTCACTTTTGACTATTTTTTAACCCACCGCCATATGCCTCACTCGACCGCAGTCATGACCCTCAGTCCTTATTCATCCTCGTCCGATCTGCTATTGCATATTCGAGCAGACTGGGCGTGATTTGCCGAGGTACATTATGCCCACTAATGCAAAAGAAGTCAGTCGTGCAAAAAAAAAAAAAAAGAGAGAGAGAGAGAAAGAATCCCGCAGCAATCACAACAATAGCTTCTGACAGTGCTGCACATTAATATTCTGAAGATAAAGAAGATGTGCGAGGCTACACGGAGAACCGAGAGGAGGGAATCAGATGCAGATGGGGCTCTGCGGCATGCATACCTCGAATAATTCAACACTGAGTCCAAAAAAAGAGAAATGAAAAAAAAAAAAGTGCAGCTGCTCATTTGCTCCTTGAAATCGATGAATGAGACACAAAAGGTTAGATTTGAAAGGTGGTCATGCAACTACAGCACGTATCACTAATGAGCAGCACGGGAAAAGCGACGTCTTTATTCAAAAAAAAAAAAAAAAAAGCACAAAAAGGCAATTCCACCCCCCCCCCCTTTTTTTAACGAAGCCGCAAAGTCGACGGCGGCCCGGGGCCAGGCAAATCCTCCCTTCAGCTACCTCGGCGAGGCCAGTTGGAGGTATTCCCTCAACAGTAAACCACAAATGTAATCCAAAGCGAAAGCGCCCTGACACAGGATGAACAATCTGCAGAGAAAATGACGGACTCATTGAAACATGTGCTCCTTTGCCTTCTGATTTGCATTTTATCCACTTAACACTTGTCATCGCCGCAGAGTGAGTATCTGTTTGTGTGTTTGGTTCAAGGTGCTAAAAGACAAAAAACAAAAAACCCAAAAAAACAAATAGAGGCGCACAGAGCGGTGCAAAGCCAATGTGTATTCTTTCACGATGTGGGTTATGCTGCAGTGACAAATTTAGAGTGTGTCCTGATTTCCTTGAGTCACTCGTCCCCAAGATACCACCGGAGCTCCCCGTCCACACAGAGAGGTCGCGCACAACTACAACCGTGACACACACACACACACACACACACACACACACACACACACACACACACACAAAAACAAGCCGTCGCTGCTCGCTGGCGAGCCACTTCCTGTGGACGCACGCAAACACGACCGCACTCGGGCCCAAACGTGTAATCAACACGTTGAGGCGGTTTGCCGCTCTTGCTGGATCAGTAAAAAAAAAAAAAAAAATGACAGAGGTTGCCCAAAATGATTTGCTTAGTTGTCAGGAAAACACAAACAAATCACATTTATTGGTTTGTATCTCAAATCATCTTTCCACATTTAAATGAATAGAAATGCCATAAATCTGTTCCGGAATCCCTTGAAAAAAAAAAAAAGAATATCAAGTGACAAATATAAAACATTATAATTGTATACGTCATAAAAAAGAATATTAGATTTAAAATGTAAAGAATTGATGGCTGTACAATGCCATCGGTTTTGGGTGTAAAAACTGAAGTGATTTTGGTTATTATTGTGAAAAAGGTGGAAAATGTCGAGATATCAGATCTCACTCATTCACTGCCATTGACGGCTACAAATGTAAAGACATTTCCTTTAATGAGACGTTTTTGTTGTCATGACTGTATTATTTTTGTCCGAACCTGTAGTTGTACGACAAATGTAAAATGAGCAAGAAACGGAAGAAACAATAAACAAATTGTCAGAATGCCAGAGTATTATTAGTCGTTCTTCACAGAGGATAGAGAATATGTCAATTTTTACTTGCAAGTCAAAGCATAAATTCATCTGAACTACGGCTTGCGTGTTGAAAATTTTGTGACACTCTGATCCCAAAGCAAGACTATGCATTTTTAAAAATTTTTTGGTGGCATTTTCATTTGACGGTAAAAATGTGTCTTAGGAAAAATATCTTTGAGTTTGTCGGTCCCATTCGTCTTCGACGTAAGCATCATTTTGACACCAGCCACAGCTTGTCAAATCAACCCGACCCAACGCCAGCACGCCATCGCCAGGTGACTCACATTCGCGAGACGCCACGGGCGGTTTGGCCGCCGAGCGCCTTTCGCACCACCGTGCGGCGCGAGAACAGCGAGACGGCGGCGCGTCCGTTGGTGCCTGAAAACTAACGAGAGGGTACAGCAGATGCATGCAAAGACATCTGGAGCTATTTTTAGCCCAGCGTGCTCTCGATTTGCCCCCGCGTACCCCCGACGCTATGCTGCAAATGTCAACGCCGCCTTGATTTCAGCCTTTCTCTCCCGGCTTGCGTCACCTCTCTCTCCATAAGAGTCAAACTGCCGCTCGCGTGAATTCCTACGCAGCCGTCGCATCCTCTTTGTCTCTGGCCGCCTCCCCGCTATCGTCCAACCAAGTGCCCCCCCTGCCTGTCTCTCGCTTGCACCTCCCCATCCAATCACGCGCCTTGGCTGGATTACAGGCTCGGGTCACCATAGCAACAGATGACGTTGGATAATTAGCAGGGCAAAAAAACTTTTGCGCACCGGTGTGTTCACGAGCACATCTGGTGGTCTGGCGAAACACTCCGAATGTGTCTTTGGGAGGAATATCCAACGACACTCGGCCCTCGCTCCGATCTCCCCCCCCCCCCCCCCCCCCAAAGCCATAAATCGATTCTGTGATCTGCCCGATTCGGTGCAGCCGCGGTGTGCGGTGGCGCTGTGGGGAAGAGAGAACAAAGAGACGCGGAGGTCCGCAGACGGCGCCGTGGAGGAGGATGACATCATTGTTTGAGGACAAAAGTTGCATTGCTCCACGTCGGGCGCCGCGCGGTCAACCCTCGGTACGTACATGTTGATCAAAAGCGGCGCATCGTCAGCATGACAAGCCGATTGACACGGCGCGGAGCCGTCGCGAATCGTCACATGGTCCACGTGCGCAAATACATAAACAAAGCCGCTTGTTTTGGGGGTTCAGAAATGACTTAGGAACAGCCGTTAATTCCACTTCCAAATATTACTTCCCACAAAGAATGAACCGATTAATCGACTGATATCAATTAATTAATTAATCGGCCATTTTTTGCCAATTTTTATTCGTCTCGAAAGTTAAACATCCGCTTTATCATGACAAGTGTCGCGGGGCGTGCTGGAGCCTGTCCCAGCTGTCTTGAGGCAGTAGGCGGGGGACACCCTCAACCGGTTGCCAGCCAATCAGGGCACACGCAGACGAACCACCAGCCATGCTCACGCTCACGCTGAGGGACAATTTCGAGTGCTCAATCACCTGCCATGCATGTTTTTGGAATGTAGGAGGAAACCGGAATACCCAGAGAAAACCCACGCAGGCCCGGGGAGAACATTCAAAATCCA